ATCACTAAATCTACTATATAAAAGCCTAATGCCTCTCTCGCCACGTCAGATTACAAAAGCAGGTAAGGAGAGGTCACGTATTTTTGTAAAATATACCAAAAATAAAAATAAATATTAATTACCATCAACCTTAGGCCATGTACAATGCATGTTTTTAGTATGTTCTTAGGCCAAGTTCTTAAATATAAAATTATTAAAACACACACTCTCTCTTCTTTTTAGTCAACTTTTTACTTTCTTTTTCATCATTTTACTCAACTTTTATTAATTTTATATTTAAACACTCTCTCATCATTTTAAGAACACTCTCCAAAAGTTCTTATTTAAAAACACTCTCTTTTTCTTTTACTCAACTTTTATTAATTTTATATTTAAACACACCCACTATCTCCTCTCTTTACTCAATACATCCCACAAAAATACTTTCTTTTTTCTTTTTACTCAAATTTTAATAATTTTATATTTTAAGAACTAAGCAGAAACACCATTGCAGATGCCTTACTCCTTTACTTTGACATCCTTTTGAAGCTCAAATATTGCATCGACTCTTGAAAATCATTTGAATTTAGAAACATATGAGATATTTCCGTCACTTTGAGATGTCGACAACCACTGCCATCACACCCGTCTCCACCAATGATTCTATTGCTTAATCTAATGAAATCAGGCAAGCATCGTCTCGATGCTGCAAGGAGTTTCAGATCAGATGAGGCGCTCGAAGCCATAGCCTATGCGTTAGAAGAGAAAATACCTAACGTAGTGCTATACAACTATCCTTCCTTCTCCGGCGCTTATTCGGCTCTCTTCGCTCTCGCCTCCATCTTGCTAATTTCTTCCGTCGTACCCTTTAGGTAAACATTCGCTTCAAGGCTGTCTATAAATATTTCTCCAGTAAACTCATAGATCAAATATCTGCCAAGGTTAGAAAAGATAGTAATAATGAGTAATGACTCTGCTCTAATTGGTATTCAGTCATGACAGGACGAAAATTACCAGATATCAAGGCTTTTAGCTTCAGACTTAAGGATCAATTGCATCACCATTCCTTACATGTACGAACATGTCCGTTGATTTATTTCGAATTTTGGGGATACTTTGCATGCTCACATTGTTGTTTTTCTTTGTGAAATCATGAAATCTAAAACTTTTCCAAACTAGACATGTCCCTATATCATTTCTCTGTGAATCATTTCATGTCTTCTATGTTGTAGTTGCTAAGAATAAGTTCAGCGGATCTCACTGCTTATGGGAATTCCCATTTTCAATCTCGGCTTATTGATGCAAAGAAACTGCTGAAGTTTAATAAAGCTTTCAAGATCAGATTGGGAAGAGGGTTTTATGGAGAGTGCCTGGTAATTTTTTTATGTCGTCGCATCACAATCCCATTGTTTCAAAAATTACTGAATTGAGCCAAACTAGCTTTTGTTTTACGCATAGGGGATGCGTGCAGATGGTAATCATCAACTAAGTGATGAACTTGGCAAGCAACTTAGTCTACAAAGTGCTGCATCTGTTTTGAGGTAAGATTCAGTTTCCTTCTAATGCTTCTGCTGTTGTGAAAAATTGTGGATACTAAGTTAGTAACATCTTTTTCAAACCAGGCCAATCGGAGCTCTTACATTCATGCAAAGGAATAATCATAAAATGTGCTTGAGAATTACAGACAATATAGTCGATATATCTGAAATTGCTAAGGTTTGCTTGTTTCAAAATCTGATTGTAAGATTTTTTTGGTTTTATTAATCAGTTATACTTATATTCAGTGTTTTGATTTTTCTAGAAAAAGGCTTATGGAGGTGTGGAACTTCTTGTTCATGCTCGTTTATCATATGAATGGATGAATATCAATGGATTTTGGATAATCCACAATGAAAACACTGATGGGACGAATCTCAAAGTTAATGTCTCTGAAATTAGAAGCCACAGTCAAATTCCAATGACAAATTTGGTAATCACAAAGGGATGATCAGGTAATAACTAAAGAAGGAAGAGGTAGCCTAAACCGTGTTGCATTTCAGTTTAGTTACTCGCATATGATATTGGCTTAGTGAAGAAGTGCAAATGTTGATATTGAAGTCTCGAGTGAGCTACGTACTTACCTGATCATCCCTTTGTGATTACCAAATTTGGGCACCCCTACGGTTAAAGGCAACCGTCTATCAAAAATGAAGTGAAGAAGTGCAAATGTATACTTTTCAATCAAACTACTTCATATATAAAACTTTTCCTATTTGTACTCCTATTTCTTTAAATTGATTTTTAGTAAGTCCTATTTCATAATTGAAGCCAAAGAAAACAATGATTTTCTGCATTCCACTTGGCAGTAGCATGTTCGTGTGATTAGTTTCGCATCCACGCTTTTTGACCTTGTTAACGTCATTTTAAAGCTTCTGTGTATATTTAGCTTAGGATTATCATCGCCAATGTCGATATTGAAGTCTCGAGTGAGCTACGTATTTACGCCATCCAGATTGACTCATTTGTTATGGTTTACTTCAGTCGGATTAATGTAAGTTAAGTTTGTTGCAGTTGTCGAGCACCGGGAAACATCATTGAACGGTTCTTATATTGGTCAGAATTGGAGAAGCTTTTCGAGTGCATTTAGGTATAGATCTTTCTATATATTTTCGTAAGCAACAAGATCTTTCTATTTCTCTGTTTTTAAAAGTTCCATGTGCTGATTTGGGTACAACTAATTCCTGTGTTCACTTGCAGCCATGGAGAGGAAGGTGAGGATGGTGTTATATGGTTCTTGATATCTCAAGTTTTAAGCTTAACTTTGTCTTTTGATCTGATTTGTAGAATCTGAAAGTTACTGAAAATGCCGAAGGTGCTCGAACCACCCTATCCGTTGTAGCATTGAACCAGCCAAAAGGTATGCTGTCACTGATTCAACGAGCACACAATTCAGAACAAAAAGTTTGACTGGAATGAATTTCAACGATCAACAAACAGAGAAGAAATGAAGATGGTGCCTTGCAAGATTGTACAAGCTAATGGTGATGCGTGGGTTGAAGCCAATAGTCAGTAGTACTCCTACAATGGACAGAGCAATGTGGTACTTCAAAATATCCCGAGTCTGTCTAACGAGAAACGGGGAATGTGGTTGTAATAATTCATATGCTTTACAAACCAATAAGCAAATGGAATTTTCGTAAACTTCTTCAAGCTTAAAAGTAGAGAGACACGAGAAGCTTAGAAGATGTTTTATTTTTTATTTTTATTTTGATAAACACTTGCAGAAAGTATTGTAATGGGATCGTGTTTCAATTTACTTGCTGTATTAGAAGAGAAACCACGAATCCAAATTACAAATGATATATGCCGGAAGGACGATTTATTTGTTTGCCATAATCATGTCCATTATATCTTTTATTAGATTTAGACGACAATTAAAATATAATTCTAAACATATGGACAAAAATTTAACAAAGGGGTTGTACTCGATATTATTCAAGTAAAATTAGAAATACTGTACTGAGTCTAACTTATATGAATACTAAGACATGTGCTACACTATGCTACTTCCAATGCTCCGTACTCAGTAGGATTCAAACTCTGGTATGTATAATTGATATCTCGTAGATCAAGATGACTAATTTATCTTCTATCACCACAAATTGAAAACTTTAAAATATTAACCAGCCTTACACTTGAAATAAATAGCTTTATTTTTTCAAACAAATTGTCTACCTATGATTTATGATCAAAAATGAA